GTGGCTGTGTGGAGACACTTTGTAGCTCATGTATGTGGTAGTGGCGCGCTTTGACGGCAACATCATGGTCCTTCCCGTTGGGTGGGTGAGTGTTCTCAGCAGTTGTGCTCTTTGTTCGTGGGTTTTGGGTTGCACGCGACTCCTTCCCCTTCCACAAGGTGATGGTCTCTCAACACCTGCTGCGAGCTTCCCAAATTGGAAAAATGGCTTTTACTTCTGCTCTTGAGGCAGTTTAGTGAGATGTACATTGCCTGATGTGTTTCACGTTGGTCTGTTTGCGTTAGTACTGTGTCGGGATTCTCAAGAAGTTGGGACCGGTTGGTCGAAGCTGGTCACCCAATTCGCCTGGTTATATGGGTAGACATCGGTAAATGCCTTGTCGTGTTCATTCCTTGTGGTAGACTGTGCCGTGGATCATTTGACGAGTGAGAGTTCAGGGAACCGTTTTCAGACAGGAATGCCTGTCTGCTCAGTTTTGTGTTGTTTGGAGATTCGAGGTTTTGCAAAGCCTCGCTGTCAGCGTGAGGAGAGTTGAACGAAGTAGTTGAAAGGTGCACAGTGTGTGTTAATGTAGAGGTTTTATTGGGTGGTTAATTGGTCAAATAGTTGTTTATGTCTTCCATTTTGCCTGTCACAGACGGAAGCCGTGGAGGTTTGGCGAGGTTTGGAACCGACGGGGTATGCAGCAGCAGTGGCATCGAGTTACGCCAGTGGTGGAGGCACTTTTTACGCTCCCATGAATGCTAGCGCTGACGCCACTGCAAGTGTGCAAGCGCCACCTCCTGCTCTCATGACCCGTGAAGTCGTCTAGGTCGTCACTTTTTACTGTCCTCACTCCGAAGCAGCTAAGTTACGACCTTTTTTAGTCGCACCCCTGTTTGCTGTAATAAATTCTACTATATTCCTAGCTTCATTTATTATGCCGGAAAGTGTGTAATTGAGGGGGATTCTTGTGGTGAGTTAGAGTACCGAAGTGAATTGATATCCTGCCTGATGGCGTTTGCTCTGAGTTAAATAATGAGAATATGTGGTGGGCTGTGCTGCCATTTGGCCATCGTAGCGGGATTGATTATTGCTATTTATGGTAATTTCGTGTGTCTTTGTTACGAATTTAATTTGGAAGGAAACATGGGTTGATGACGAATCTCACCGGTCAGTGCAAGAGCTGCCTGTCTATCCTCTGGTTCCTGAACCTCAGACTTTAAACGACAGTTGGTTGCGGATGATTTATTGGGCATTTGTTATCAGGAGGGACGGGAAATGGGATGCAGATGAGGCGAGTAGGAGATATCAATCGGACGGAAACTTCCTGCCGGCTTCACGCACGTAATTCGTTTTCCAATTGGTTCCCACCTCTCACCTATAAAAGTCTACTTAAGCAAACTATCATACATTACAGTCAGAACTTTCGTTGCTATGATCCGCTATATTATATTCGCATTTTTCGCCTAAGGTTGGATACGTGAACAGATCCTATAGAATTTTAAAGACAGCAGAAGAATAGAGTCAGAGCAGACTGCATGCATTTGGCATGTAAAGACTAGAGATGCTGCTCCAACTGAAGACCACGGTGGGATGGTATTAATGCTGCGAATAATTGGGTCTTTAAAATGCCATTAAGGTATGATCAAGGCACCGTCGGGGAGACTCAAGTATCTCAACCAAACTTGCTCATTATTGTAGCGTCTCAATACTTCCCGTAGGGTGGAAGAAGGCAGTATATGGGCCTGAGGATAGCCCAGAGGTCAGCCCATGAGTACAAAGGTCAGACAAATTCTAGAATGACCGCAGAACCTCAGGTAGTCACGTAAACAAAGTATTACGAATACAACATCTAGAATCAAGGCTCCACAAAGATTCCTCAAGCGATAAAATGTTTGTTTGCAAGTTGGAAGTAATTAACACCAGTCACCTTAATAGGCCTGCTAAAAGGAAGAAAGGTGTTAAGAGCGCTCTTTGTTAAATTACGGTATAAAATTGGAGCAATGGAATAAGAACTCATTAAGTGAGCTATCGACCTATTATTTGTGCATTGCAAGATTTTCAAAAATCCAAAGGGCATTTAGTTTAATGCGCTCTTATTGACAATGTTTGTATAAATTTCGGAATACTTTTGACCAAGCCATATCCTAGCTAAATGGTAAAATTCATAGCTGATTCTCCATTCTGAGTGCTGTCTGAGCAAAGTAAAATATGGGTCTGCATTATGATCAAGAGTAGTTTGCATAAGTTATTTGATTAACTACTAGCGCCCAAAGATTTGGTACAATATCAAACATTGCACAGTATGATCTTATCAAGGAAGAAGCCGTCTGTCCAGTCAAGTGACAAAATTGTCTCGGATGATTTGCGTAGATGGAGAGAAGTTCCTAAGTTAGAAGACTTTCTTAATGCCAGGGACTTTGTTGGTGCGATTACTCTTCTTGAATTTGAACGGCACACAGATAAACCAAAAAAAGATGTCGACTTGTGGATTGCGTATTGTCGTTTTCATCTTGGTGACTACAAACATGCTGCTGATGATTATAAGAGACTTCTTTCCGACAAAAAACTCGCTCCAACCATTAGGACTTACTTGGCATGCTGTTATTTCTTCATGGGAATGTACAAAGAGGCTCAAGAAGAGGCAAACCAAGCTGCGCAATGTCGACTGCAAAATCGACTTCTTTTTCACATTGCTCACAAAATGAACGACGAGAGAGATCTTCTTACGCACCACAACCGACTCTGCGAGAACTTAGAAGATCAGCTTTCTCTTGCCTCCATTCATTGTCTTCGCAATCACCAGCAAGAAGCGATTGATATATATAAAAGAATCATGCTGGAAAATCGTGACTACTTAGCTCTTAACGTCTATCTCGGTTTGTGTTATTACAAAATTGACTACTATGACGTGGCACAGGAAGTTCTTACTTTGTACTTACAACACTACCCGGACAGTCCTACAGCTATCAACCTACGCGCATGCATTAACTATCGTCTCTACAATGGCAAAATAGCAGCCTCCGAGCTAAAGGACCTCCAAGACTCCTCTTCTCCATGTCTCTCATACGCGAAGGATTTGATTAACCACAATCTTGTTGTCTTCAGAAATGGCGAGGGCGCATTACAAGTATTTCCCCCCTTGATTGACGTTCTCCCAGAAGCAAGACTAAATCTTATTATTTATTACCTGCGGCACGAAGACTTCAATTCGGCGTATGATTTGGTGAGCGATATGGACCCCACCACACCGCAAGAATATGTGCTGAAAGCGATAGTCAACGCCGTGATTGGACAAGAAACCACCTCCCGCGAGCATCTTAAGCTCGCACAGCAGCACTTCCAACTAGTTGGTGGATCTGCAAGTGAGTGTGACACAATTTCGGGGCGCCAGTGCATGGCTTCTTGTTTTTTTCTCCTCCATCAATTTGACAGTGCTATAATCTATCTCAATTCTATCCAATCATACTTTTACAATGACGACATCTTTAACTTCAACTACGGCCAAGCAAAGGCTGCTGTTGGAGCTTACAAAGAGGCACAAGATTTATTTCTACTCATCCAATCAGAAAAACTACGAAACGACTATGTTTATCTCAGCTGGCTGGCAAGGTGTTACATTATGAACAAGAAGCCGCGTTCTGCGTGGGAGCTTTACCTTAAGATGGAGACCTCAGCGGAGTCCTTCAGTCTGCTCCACCTCATTGCCAATGATTGCTACCGAATGGCACAGTTCTACTATGCAGCAAAGGCGTTTGACGTACTAGAGCGCTTGGATCTCAATCCGGAGTACTGGGAGGGTAAGAGAGGTGCTTGTGTAGGAGTCTTCCAACTCATATTAGACGGCCAAGAGCCTAAGGAGACCCTTCGAGAGATCCTCCAGATCCTTCGCAACACGAACAATGCGCAAACGGACTATTTCATTCGTATCATGAAGAAGTGGGCCACTGAGCACTCTGTCACCGTATAAATTACTAAATGTCACTTGTACAGTACCAACATCAAGCGTTTAGAAGCCACAGTTTATTCAAGCTATATGATTATGTACAAAGTAGGGCAAAAGTAGGCATCACTCTGGTTTTTTAGAATGTTCCTTTTCAAGTTCGGCACTCAATTCCTCCAATCGCCCGATGTCCTTAAGAGAAAATTTGCCAGATCCTCGCGGCAATGGCTTAGCCTAAGGAAGATATAGTGCGAGCATTGAACGAAGGAGTGCAACACAGCAATTAAGAATGTTCATATTTGACTAACCTGTGAGGGGTCAGGCTTCCAAGCGATGAAGAAGAGAAGCCTAAACGTAGCCGGCACACAGCGCTCCGCTTCATCTCCTCGGTGGGTGCCAAACCGGCCTAACGAATTCCATTAAAATGTTATCCACCTGACATTAGTCCAGCCTTGCTAAAAGTTCTGCAAGGTCGGGAGAATCGCTAACACTACCGACAATTTCAATCTTACCAAACACGCTGCTTTTAAAAAGGCAAAAAAAATCATTGGAAACATGTGTACATTAGGAGCGACGGGTCATATTAACCAATAAAATTAGGTATTACAAATTACTTCGTCGACTGACAATTTCGGATATATTAGGATGGAAAAGTTAAATAAGACTTGAAGGGCAATATTCACCACTATCGCAGCGTGTAATATTTGGAGGAAACCTCGCAGAGATTAAAATAACAACCAAAGGCTGTTTAAAAGTACATCTAAAGTCCGAATGTTTAATCAGTGCAAGAAGAATGTCTTTGCTCACTCGAATTCACATATGTGTAAAAATAAGCAAAAATAGTATCAAAAGCTGACCGTCATAAATTGAAGAAGCCGCAAAGAGGACATCTCTGTTCAGGCGAAGTGGCCGACCGATGACGGAGTTCGACTCGCCCATACCTCGCAAATCGTCAATCAACTCAAACATTGACGGGTAGAGGACTTCAATATCGTCAACGTCCTACGAAAGACGGAGCACTTATACAAAGATGGCACAATACCAGCGAGATTAATGAGAATCCGCATTCTCTAAGAAGTTCACCGAATCTGGCACTTTCGACAAAGGGACTAATGTGGGGATGAAATCCTCCAAGACGCTCAACTTCTGCCATTTGGAGGGAAACGCGTAATTCAAAGAGAGTATCTGTAGTGAGAGTTACCCCCAAAAAGCATCCGTCAGGTTTAAGTGTTCGTAAAACCTAAGGATAATCAGAAACATTTCGAGTACTTGAGATAAGGTTGTACGAAGATCATTCACCCAATGCAACCTAGAAGTCCAAATGGGTTTAAGTTGCCAAGGTACAAATTACGAGAGCGATGAAAAAATCATATTAAATGAGTTCTCCGCGAATGGAAGAAATTCCTCATCTACGTTTAACAGCAATGTGTCGACGTCAGGAGACGGAGTGATTTGTTTCTATAGGAAGAACGGCTGCAGGTTAAGTGAGCCTTTAATTACTCACAAGGACCTCAGTGGAATTGTCGCATTGATAAAGAAATCGGACGGAGTCACTAGTTAGGTGTTGGATGAGATGACCTCTCCCACACCCAATTTCAGCGGCTACATCAAAAACTCTAGAAGACGCAATGCACTCTTGAAGGCATAAAAAAATAAAGACGTGAATCCAACAATCCATTTACCTATTTATGTCACTAACGCGATCTGCGAGACGAAAAGCCGCCTCGTCTCGCAGGTAGTCGTACAACGACGGATTTAACCTCAGCGATGCCCTCGCACGCTGAATACTTTTGGACTTGCGGTCAAAAATGGGTGGCAATGAAGTAGAATGGACAGTTTGACATCTGTTAATATTACTTATCGCTATAGGCACTAAGCTCCTGGAAACACGCAGCACGAAAAGCGCACTCATTAGCAGCTTGGCTAAGCTGGTAAATCAATGGAACAGGGCTGACATATGACGCTTAGCATTAGACAGGATAAAAATTATAAATATCAATTAAAATTGGTTTATAAGACGAGCTACAAAACGCTCATCTTAGCTTCAACATTGCATTAAGCTTATAAATTCCGCAATTTAAAGATGTGTGAGCGATGCCACAATTAAACCAAAGTAATCAATCATGTGGTGCAAAATTCCTTTGCATACGCTTCGATTGGCCTACATAAACAACCCGTTTAGACATTGTTACTGGAATCCATATTTGTCCTAAACAAAATAATTCAGGGCATGAACGACCACAGAGTAAACTAAACCACGTCGCCTTGCTGTTGCCATTTAATAAAACGACGCCCGCTCAATTCGAGGTTGGTCTAAAAGCGTCCAAGGTGTTTATTTACAGCAGTCGCGAATGCCGCTCAAAAATCGCCCACTTTCAACCAGGCATCCTAAAATGCACAAGTATCGGCATTCGCCTAGCTTCGACATCTCTCATTCGAATGAATCATGTGGTGAGCATTCAAGCAGCGAACAGGACTCACCCCTATCAGAAGATAGCAAAAGTGTTTCCATATTGACAGCCATGTGGGATTTTGGTCAATGTGACCCTAAACGCTGTACGGGAAGGAAACTTGTTAGACTTGGTGTTACGCGTTTACTCAAGCAAAAAGAGTCCTTTCATGGAATAGTATTAACACCTACTGGAGCACAGTGTATCAATCCCTCAACTGATAAGGACATTGTTTCTCGATGTGGTATCGCGGTGATTGATTGTTCCTGGGCACAAACTGACAACACTCCGTTTCATCGGGTAACACTCTACACATTCTTATATCGTTATTCGCATGCTGAATTGCATCGTTTTACTGTTACATTGGTTTTTAGCTTAGATATCGGCATGGGCGGTTACTTCCTTATCTTTTGGCTGTCAACTCTGTTAACTATGGGCGTCCACACAAGTTGAGCTGTGTGGAGGCACTTGCAGCTTGTTTGTACATTCTTGGTTGGGAGAATGAAGCACATGATTTGCTCTCCTACTTTTCATGGGGTCCCTCCTTCCTTGAAGTTAATAGTGAGCTCCTTTCAACCTATCGGGCATGTAGAGATAACGCAGAGGTGTTGCGTGCTCAGAATCTGTACATGGCACAGCTAGAGGCCAAAAATAATAGAAAACGATGTAGCTACGCCGATGTCTATGCGGATCTAAATGAAGAAATGGGTTCAGATCATGAGAACTGCAAGTTAGTTTTTACGCTTACTTTCTATGGATAGGAAACCTTGCTCAAATTTTACACCCTTTTACTTTATTTAGATTGGAGGAAACGGAAAACCAAGGAGCTGGTGACAACAAATCCCACGATTCTCAGGAAGTCTGCGTAGGTAGGCTTGATAGTTTGTCCTGTTGCTTTTTATAGTTTGCAAATAGGCTCGCAGAACCCATTAATAGCTATATTCCTTC